ATGCCGGCACCTATTACTGCGTGAAGTTCCGCAAATCGCTGCTTAGTGCTGAGTTTTTTCGGCGTGGAGGGGGCACGGAGGTGTTTGTGCAAGGTGAGTTGGGGCTCCCAGAGCAGCTCCCAGTGGGAACCAGCTCTGCTGGGCGCAGCCCCCGGCACAGCCCGGTGGGCTCTGCACAGGGTGAGTGGGGATGGGGAAGGGGCTCAGGGGCTGGTCACAGGAGAGAATCCCGTGGACTGTGCTTGGGTGCATCCATATCCCCATGGGAGACCCTGCTCCCTGCAGCCCTGGGGATGGGCAGGGGTGGCAGAGCCTGGTCTGACAGCTCCATAAGTCTCCCTGCAGCCAAACCCACCACCCCGGTCGTGTCCGGCCCCAGCCGCAGAGCGGAGCCGGAGCAATCGGTGTCTGTCACCTGCACGGCCGGAGGGTTCTTCCCCAGTGACATCAGTGTGAAATGGCTCAAGGACGAGGCCCCGATCTCAGCTCAGCAGCCCCAGATCACCCCTGGGCGGACCAAATTCTCCTACGACATGTCCAGCTCCGTGACGATGATGCTGCAGAAGGATGACGTACGCTCGCAGCTCACCTGTGAGGTGCAGCACCCCACGCTGACGGCCCCACTGAGGGGGCTGTACCAGCTCAGAGACGCCCTGCGAGGTGAGGGCTTGTGGGGGGACCGGTGCTCAGGGCATCCAGCTCCCGTGGGCTGGGGTCCAGGGCAGGGACAGGGCACCCTGCGGACAGCAGAGCCGGGGGATGCCAGGCACCAGGAGCTGCTTCTCTTCCCAGTCCCCCCCAGTGTCCGTGTGGCCGCTGACCCGCCGAGCCCTGTTAAGCTGAACAAGACGGTGAACATGACCTGCCTCGTGGAGGGCTTTTACCCGGGAGTCGTGACCGTCACCTGGCTGGAGAACGGGACGGAGATGAAGGTGGAGAACAACTCGGGGCCATCAGAGACCTCCCTGGGCTTGTTTGAGCTGAGGAGCTGGGTGGAGGTCCAAGCGACGTCGGAGAAGAACGGGTCCGTGTTCACCTGCCAAGTGGTGCACGATGCCCAGGCCCCCATCAGCAGGATGGCCACCTTGCAGATCGCTGCCCTAGCCACAGACGGACCAAGCACCTGGTCCCAGACAG